AGACACACACACTCGCACACACATACACACACACGCACTCACTTATATTATACATCGTACACGCACGCAAGCACACACATAGTCAGACCCACACACACATGCATGCATACACATACATACACACTCAGACACACAAACTCACGCACACACACGCGTGCGCGCGCGCACACGCACACACACACACACACACACACACACACACACACACACACATACACAAGCGCCAGGCGCACGCACGCACAAACACATACACACACACACATCCTCGGTTCCATCCTTTCTCTCTCCATCTATCCTTTCTCTCTCTGTCTGTATCTCTCTCTATCTATCCATCTTTCTGTCTGTCTGTCTGTCTGTCTGTCTGTCTGTCTGTCTGTCTGTCTGTCTGTCTGTCTGTCTGTCCGTCCTTATACAACCCGCCCTTGCGCCCCCTCCCCCGCGGTCTCTCCCTTTCTTCTCCTTGGCTTTATAAAATTTCGTTCTTACTCTCTTGCCATAGAAATAACATACTCACGTTCTTGATATTGTATGTTTAAACACATGTGAGCGCCTACAAAATACTCAGCTGCGTTATTCTTTGCCAAGCCCACTTGGTAAGCCCCAACTCCTCCACGAATGAGCACTTTAAAAAAACAACCTCACCCACTCTCCACTAACCCGGGCCAACTTTCCACTGCACAGACAAAAATTGCATTCTCTCACACACCGACGACTATTTTCGTCGAGCGTCTCTCGGCTCCGGAAGTGTACCGACATCTTTGTACACAAGAGCTCTGCCCCCGAAAAGAGCACAGATCTTCTAAAATTGACACAAGGATTGCAGATCTCAATGGCTGTGACGCACCCAACTTCCATATTTGGGCAATGGTGTCATGTCGTCCCTTCGCAACGGGTCATGTTGCGTGGTATTGTACGTAAATTTTCACGCCCATCTCCTTCAAGTGGGAGATAATCCCCTCAGCGGTAAAACAACGGTGTGGGCCGTGGACTAGATATAAAAGCGAGCGAGTTCATGGTCAGATCATTCACATCGACAGCAGAGTATCAGAACAGTTCTGCCTTCGTTTATCTAAAGCGAGCTTCAACAACGATACTTTGTGAGAAACAATTTATCTCAAAGTACTAAATTTTGCCGAATATTCACCTCTCTCAGAAGTGCAGACGTGAGCAGAAGTAACTACCAAGCTTTCCACTGTTCAGAAATCAAGATGTTTAAGCTTTTTTGCACTTTCCTCTTCGTCCAGATGGCGATGACAGCAGCTCGTGTTGTCAAACGCGAGACCGTGTTAGAGTGTAAACAAAATCCCATTGAGTTGGGCATCGTGCTAGATTCGTCTAGCTCAATCCGTCACACAGATTTCCAGAAGAGCATCAAGTTCCTCCAGGAATTTCTTGATCAGTACGAGATCGGCGATGGCCGCAATGACGTCAGAGTGTCCATTATCACTTTCGGCAAGGGCGTCTACCCCCAGGACTCCTTCGACCTTGACACCTACAAGAGCAAGGACGCTGTGATCGAAGCTATTGGAAAAGTCCCTCACAGAGTCGGCCTCTACACTTCCACAGGGGAGGCCATCGAGTACATGAGCGAGAAACAGCTGTCCAAGAATGTGTCCAGACCGTACGCTGACCGCATCAGCATCGTCATCACAGACGGCAACTCTCAGGTTTGGCGCAAAACCAGAGACGCCGCACAAGCTGCCCGTGACAGCGGAATTGTCATATTCGCCGTGGGCGTGGGAAACGTCCGTCGGGAGGAGCTGCTCAGAATCGCCGGCAATGAGAGCCAAGTGGTGAAGGTGGACAACTTTGACAAGCTGGAAGAGATCAAGGTCAGTCTGGCCCACAAGACCTGCATCGAGAAGGAGCTGACGACAACCACGACTACCACCACCACGCCTCCGCCTCAGACACAGACCTGCGGGGAAGAGAATCCTGCTGACGTCTACTTTGTCTTCAGCCCAGCTGAGCTCGGTACACAGATTACTTCATGGACAACCTCCTTGATCTCCACAACGGTCAGACAGGACGATATGGAGAAAGGCTTTCGGTTTGGTGTCGTTTCTGGCTCCTGCCCCGATGACGAGGGATTTGACCTGGACGACTACACCAGTGCTGAAGAGATCGACGCCAGGTTGGCCACCTACATGCAGCCACGCATGCCCGCTATGATTGACCACCTGTCCAACTTTGGTTACTCTGACATGTCCGGCGGCCGCAGTCATGCCCGTGACGTCGCTGTTCTCGTTGCCAACGGCGGGAAGAAGAACAAGGGTCTTCAAGGGGAGGTCAATCGTCTGCAAGCGAAGGGAGTGCAAGTGTTCATCGCTGACCCAGCCGGCTCCGGCATCGAGATAGAGGGCGCTATCACTTTAACAGGACGCAGCGCCAAAGACGCCTCAGCAAACCTCGTAACCCATCTATGCCCCACCCGTACCGGAAACGCATAAAAGGGCACCTTTCCCAACCACTGAGCGTTCATTTAAGATCATTACATGTTCTAGGAACTGGTTTTAAGAATATTGACATTACTGTACTGCCATAGTTGCTCTGTCCCGTGCCTCAGAACTATTGAAAGAATTATTGTGCTGATGGCACTATCGGACATATGGAATCTTCACAGCAACGAAGTGCAATAGACCCGATACGTCCACACAGAGTAACACATTTCATGTTTATTTGTGTCATAAAGCGCTTTACACGCAAATGTCTTGTGAACCCTTTTAGGGGAAAAACCCATGAGCAAATGTTTAGTAACAGTTTAACCAACTTTTTTCAATCTTATCATTTTGAATTTCACGACAGTGAGAAAAAAAGCAACGTTCATAATTGTATGTTTGGACGTGTGCAAGTTTTCTTAAGTATATGTAAGAGAATGTGGAGAGAGAGAGAGAGGGGAGAGAGAGAGAGAGAGAGAGAGAGAGAGAGAGAGAGAGAGAGAGAGAGAGAGAGAGAGAGAGAGAGATAACGAACCAGCGAGAGGGGTACAAAGGGTTAGAGAGATAGAAAGAAAACAAATCAAAGGAGGGGTGGGGGTTGGGGTGTTTGAGTTTGACATGCGCTCCAGGTGAGCTGTCGTAATACGAATATCAAACGACATTTTTTCTCCCTTGCCACCCCCTCCCCCTCCCACACACACAGCCAGCACCAGTAAATCAATGTATCTATGTCCCCTTTTTTTCAGTAATAGTACTAGCGAAGTTTTGATCCGTCGCTAAAAGGATTGAAAAAACCCCCACAACACACAGAGAAAG